AAGCAGAGGGTGTGGGTGACCGCCATCGCCAACCCCCTTCTCTGCAAAGCTGCCCGGAAACCTCCCGGCAGGTTCTCAGTGGCATTTTGGCAGCTGGAACAGTTTGTTGGGCAGAGAGGAGACAACTGTCTGAGCAGACAAGTGTAATAACCAGAAGCCCAAGGACATGGGTCAGGCTATGGATTTTTCTGTGAATCTGGGGGACAAGCCTGAGCAGCACTGATGGCCTGGGAGATAAAGTGTTGAACGCACACAAGCGAGCCCGTGGTCATGGAGGAAGCGGAAATAGGTTATTCCCACAACACCCTTTGTTCCAAGATGGGACACTTGCCATGTTGACAGGATCCTTCCCGGAAACGGTCCTTTCACCCTCAGGGTGGCTTTCCAACCTTTCCTATACAAGGTGGCCCAAGCTCTTTCCCTCTCAAAGGGAGATTTTCTTCTGACAGACATTGCGTGCCTACTAAGTGCCAGGCCCTCGGGCCTAATGGAAGAAAGGGTAACAGAGAAATGCAGTCCAGAACGATCCCAGGAGGGTGACCTGGGAGCAGGGAGGGTGCCCAACCCTGCCTGTACCCAGAGGGGAAAGCCAGGGACAGCTTTCTGGAGAGAGCTGGGAGCTGAGTGATTAAAATGGAGAGGAGAGAGGAGGTGAGGGTCTCCGGCTAGAAAGTCCTTAGAATTACCTCATTCTTAAGAATGTCTCTTGTTCTCACATTTGGAGGGGGCCGCCCAGAACCTTCTCAAAGCCAACTCGGTGGAGCCGGGGGGTCTAGAGGGGGAACAGGATGAAACCCTGGTCCCCATCCACCTTTTTAAGTTGAGCTGTCCCTGGGTGTAAAATGTATACCCGTACAGAGGTTTCCACAGGTTTAGGGAGCGGGGAGTATAAAATAAAAGATGAACTCCAGCACAGGGCCTTCCAGACTGCTAAGGAGTCTCATTTCCTCCCACCTCAGTAGGAGAAACACCCCGCTAGACTGCAAATACCCACAGATCCTTCCCGAGGGGAGGGGGCAGGGGGTGGGCAGGTCTGCAGTAAACGTTAGGTGGGAAAGTGGAAGACAGACCTGTTTGTGGCCCCGAGTTTTGTAATCTGTTCCACTCTAGTGTCGAATCAGGCCCCCCAGGACTTACCCCCAGGGCCCATGTCTCTCCCCCCAGGACACCCACTCTGGAGTGGGGTCCACTGGCACTCAGAGTTCCCCACCCCCTCTGCACACCCACTTTCAGCAAGCCAGAGCTGGCCCAGCAGAAGGCCAAGCAGGTGTTCAGAAAATTAATTTCAGGGTCTGCACCAGAGACTGCATCCAGCCTGTCCCTGTCATCAAATGTAAAGAGAAGGGACAAATAAGAGGGAGGCCTGGGACCAGACTGAGACCAGGAGGCAGGAAGGGCAGCTTGCAATGAATCCAGGAGACCAGGTCCATGCTCCAAAGACAGGTCCAGTTCCCTGGCATTGATGGCCTAGGAGATGCCTTGAGAATGTCACTTGTGAGAATTATTGACAGACACCTACATGGTGTCCCCACAGGCTGGGCACTGTTCTCAATCCGTGAACAAGAATTAACTCAAATAATACTACATGTTCTCATGAGACAGAGCTTATTATTCTCACTTTACAGGGGAAGAAACTGCGGCACTGGGCTCCTGATTGCCTGTCTAACTTCTCACCCTGGCGGTTCTCCAGTCGCACCAACACGTCAGGAAAAATAACAAAGGCTTTCAAGTCGAACTCTCCAGGTTCAAAGCCTGGCTCTCCCTCTCTGAGCCATGTGGCTACAGGCAAGTCCTTTCAACTCCCTGGCCTCGGTTTCCTCACCCATTCAATGGGGCCAGTGAAGCTCAGGCAAAGCTGTTGTGAGTACCAGAGGGGAGGAGGGGGTACAGCAGCTGATCTGGAGAGAGATGTCCCACCCCTCCCTTTCACGTCCCTATTAGAACCTTAGATGCTGAGTCATCACCCTGGCTTCCTCTCCCAGGAACAGGGAACTTGAGTCATGCCTTGGATGGGATTCCCTAGAGCTGGGTCCCATCGAAGAAGTGGAGCTTCAAGCCATCAGAAAAACACAATGGGATCTTTCTTCCCCATCCACACTTAGGCAGGCTCAGGCCAGGAGGCTTCAGTGTACCCCAGGGGCCCCCAGCTCTGATCAGATCTTTAGTTCAACCTGGAGGGGGCAGCCTGAATCCAGCCACCGCTGCGCAAGCAAGGGTGCCCTCTCTCACCAGACTAATTCTGTTCATGATTCAAGAACACCTGATTTACACTAAAAATAAGTAAATAAACCAAACATCACCCAAATGCTGTCTGGAAAGTTTCCTCACCAGAAACTCAGTTGAGATCCAATTTATTTTTACACCTCTGAGAGCACCTTTGACCATCTCCAACCCCCACCTGGGCCTCCAGGAGGGGGCCTGGAGAGGTGAGTTCTGGTTTTAGCTGGGCCTTGGTGAGTTGCTCCCTGTCTCTGGGCCTGTTTCCAACTGTAAAATGGGAAGAGGGTGGGCCAGCATCTTGTGTGAACTGTTGGTTCCACTCCAAATGATCAAACCTGCAGTCAGTCACCCTGGATTTGCTGGCTGTTCCAGGAGACTAGCTGAGTAATCACCGCAGGGAAGGAGTCTGTACTCCACTGACAGCATGTATCTGGGCTCCTCCCAAGTGCCAGGCCCTCAGCCAGGTGCCAGGTTACAGGGCGAGGCCGGCACAGCCTTCCTCCTCACCTCCTGCAGCTCATCCTTGAGCGGGAGATGAGATGCCACCTAGTAAGTCACAGGTCAGGGGCACCCCAGGTTTTGCTCCTTACACCAGAGCATGGTACCTCTCACACTCCTCACCTCCCCTACCCCAGCCCCACCCTGTGCCACCCCAGTACTTGGCACCCAGGACTGTGGTCTGTGCTTCCCTGCACTTCTCCCCTGGCTGGTGAGCCCCTCAAAGGCAGGTGCTGAGGTTCGCTCTCTCTGTACCTTGTTTATTTCAGTTCACCTTTGGGAAACTTAGTAAAGACTCCAAAATTTCTATACAGGAGGAGGCTGGCCGTTTGCCTTGAAACTGGGTTTTCATAGCAAGAACGAGGTTTGTATTCGTTCCTGTGAGGTGGCTCAGGGGATGCTTCAGTGTGGCTGGTGGCTGGTGAGGAGACTGAGGCCTCCCCTGCGGCCACTGGCTGAGTTCTCTCTGAGTCTGTCTTTCTCAGTAACTTAAAGGGACCCAACAAAAGGAAGTGCCCGGGACATTTGTGTAGAGGAGTTGGTCTTGGGCACAAGATAACTAACTGGCTGCCCCCATCAGATCTCTCCCCCTCCCCCCACCCCTGCTGACAGGGACCTCTCCCTTCCAAGCCACAGATGGGTGCTGCCCCTGGCCCTGCAGGGATGTCTGACAACAGAGGCAGAGGCTACAGACAGGAGAGTAGGGGAGCTTGTATTTGGGGGGTGGGGTAGAGGAGGGTTAAGAGAACCATCCCCTAAAACCCAGCTTCAGCTACTAATTTGACAGTGGCGGTGACAGGCCTTTCCCCTGACCCCACCGCGTAGCACACGCCCTGCCCAAGGCTGAATCAGTCTCCGGGGAACGTCGGAGCTGTTCCAGCTGTTCTCTCCCCTGGAGAGCAGGCCAGGCGGGTCCAGCAGCAGGGGCAAGAAGGAAGCGGGGGAGGGTGGGCGGAGGCGAAAATGACGCCACTCCTAGCCCCAGCCAGCGCGGGGCCACCAGAGGCCCGCAGGACCCCTCCGAGCCAGGCCACCTATCAGGAGCCGCCACAGCGCCTACCCCGGGCCACCTCTGGGGGCGCACCCTCCCCAGCGGTGCGCGCACTCACTCGCTCCAGCTCATGTCGCACGAGCTGTGACACACCTCGGACGGTCCCCCA